TCGGCCCCGCGTCGACCCCAAGGGAACGGTTAGCGCATCCTCGCATAAGGCTGGCTATCCGGGACGGGACGGTGATTGAAGGAATGATGAAGGGCTCTCTCTCTGTGTAGGAGAGTGACGCCGGTGATACATCATTTCGGCCATCCCGTTCCCCAATGCGAAGCCACCTTCGCATTCTGCTGTCGCCAAACCACGCGGATCAAAGTTGTCAACGAGGATAGGGAAGTTGTTTGCATGACGCCTGGGGTCGTATGCCATCATCATGTTTTGTAAAGTGTCCCATGTGACGAATGGAACTGGGACAGATGCACTCCTCGGGTTCGCCACTAAGAGCATCGCTCATAATTCACGTGTGCAATCGTCTGCAAAACCCAACCGATGCATACCCCGCCGCATTAGCTATTTGTGGTGGATAGAAAAGACGGACGACGGTGTTCTGCTGCCATCCGTTCCGCGGCAGAGTCACGTAAGAAACTGTCGGTTGAGCGTTTTTCTCGCGGAGTGTGCCGACTAGAAGTTGTCGTAGGCAAAGAAGCCATCCATCTTGACTAGCTGGTTTCTGGATCCTTCATAATCTTGGCGCTGGCGACGTTTCCGAAGGCGGCGAATGTGTGGCCAATCGCGCCCTACTGGACGTGGGGTGTGTGGCGGAAGCAGCGAGTGCAAGCGGGTCGTGATGCGGACGTTGCTTCCTTGCCCACTCGTTCTCAGCCTAGTGCAATAGAACGGATTCGAACCATTCCATTCTAGCACCACGGTGAACCAATCCATGGTCAGTGACGTTCCGAAATGATCGTTGGCTTCTCCTGCAAGCAGCACATCAATCTAATTCCGCTTGGATGATGTTTTGACGCATCGCATAGGCATCGCATAGACGTCCATCCACTGAGGACAAAACGGTGACACAACACGTGTGGGATTTCGAAACGCTTGAAGAAGCACATCCGTCGTTGATTACCAGAGGAGCGATGCGTGCTCATTGCTGAAGCCGCACTAGTTTGGGTTACCCCCGATGGAGGCCACTCGAATTGAATATCATGGGATCACCCAGGTCATGGGATCACTCAGGTCACGGGTTCAGATCTTCAATTCGAGTGGCCTCCGTCGGGGGTAACCCAGAGTAGTGTGGCTCCAGCAATGAGCACGCATCGCTCCTCGCATCCCCAACGACCTCCAGAAGACTAGTGGAGAACCCGCGAGCTCTAGAAGAAGACTAGTGCTCGACTGCTCATAAAATTGTCCCGAGAGGGATAAATAATTCCCGCGTTCCTCAAAGGCCGCGAGTGCTGGTTCTCGTCTGAGTTAGTCCCAGTTCGAACGTCTTTTGGGACACAAAAGACGTTGGGCATATTTGGGACCACACGCGCGCGTTTGCAGCGCATCACTAGGGAGAGACGTTTTTAAGGGCTGAAAACAGGACTCCAGAAAATGCTACCAGCCCAAAGAGATCTCCCTCCTTCCTACGAGGCCTCTCCCAGTGGCGGAGAGCCCAACAAACCTACGCCGGAGTTCTTCCCCAGTGGCGAGAAGAATTACGGAACAACTGGTGGACGACCAAAGGGTGATCCCTGCGATGACCGAGCTGGCCAATGCTGGTAAGGCCGGGTACAATTTCCAGCACACCTTCAAGACGGAGTACGAACTTGGGTACCTCCCGTACTACGAAGTACTTGGCCGTCTTGATGCGTTTTTCGGCGAAGTTAGCGTTGGCACCACCAACCTGGACGAATTAGACGCCATAAGACCAGGCACCGCGTTGAGATCCACGAGAGCCGGGGACATCATGGAATGGGCCTGGCAATGGATTGAGAGGTTGAGTGGGGTGCAGCTAAAGCTTAGCCTGTGGAGGGAATGGGCAAAACGCCACTG